TCATCCCCACATCTACTCCTGCAAGGCAGCCCTGTGGGTAAGTTGGCCCATGTCCCTGTGTACACACTACGCAGCCTCTAAGGGGATGGTATGAGGAGGAGGCCTTGCCGGGATGGCCTTGCTCCATCCGTGTGCTCCAGGCTCCCCACCATGTGCTGCCAGGTGTCCTCTCTCTGCCTGTCTGCAGTTTCCTGCCCCTCTCCTGCAGGGAAGCCTCTTCCAGGACATTAGCTTGGCCACAGCCCACCTGCCACCCCCTTCCCAGGAGTCTGTCACACATTTGTCTGGGTCAGGACTGAGGAGTCCATCTCTGGTAGACTGAGCCCACCAGGCTCCTTAGGGCCCGTGAGGCTGAGACACACAGGTCCTAGTCAGGATCCCAGGGGCATGTGGCCCAAACATTATGGAATTGCTGTCACCTCTGTCAGAGCAGGCCCAGGGGTGACATCCTGGCTCCTAGCCCCTGCTGGATATGGCTCTGCTGCTGCCCAGCTGACAGCCATGGGTAGGCCCCACCTGCCTGGGCCTCAGTTTCTCCATCTGCAGAGTAATGGGGTCCAGACTGGGGATGGGGGTTGAATTCTCCCCCTCAGGGCCAGGCATTCAACATGAAGGACCATTCATCACTTTCACAAAGAAACAGGTTCTCCCATCTTTCTAGAAACATGAGGCTTCTGGGTCTGTTTGACCCACTCTTACAAAATAATGGAGGCCAAAACTTCATTCACTTTCATCTTCAAACTAGAAATCAACAATGTAGTGCAGTGATGGGTGGCATGGGACTCAGGGTGATGGCAGAGGAGGGGCTGCAGGAGGAGGCATTCTTGCCCAAATTACCAGCCTCCCTCCAGCCCCCTTTTTGTTGCCAGTTGGCAGCACCAGTCAGGTCCTCCAGCCTAGAAGCTAGAAATCTGGGTGTTTATGTGAAATCTTCTAACTGTTCAGTGCTGGCAATTAATTCAAAAAGCCTTTGATCACTGTGAATGCCAGCCAAGAAACACATCTGCAGGCCCTGTTGGTTCTGCCTGTGAGTCAGCAGTTGTGACCTCTGGTCCTGAGGGTGACCCTCCAGGGTCCGCCCTTGATGATGATGCATCTGGTGATCTCTCCATCCAAACATGGTCTCTGACACCTGCCAGAGATCCCAGGTGGTCCTGAAGTATGAAGGTCCTCTGTGTGGAGAGTTGGAGGAGATGGGCCTCTTCTCAAGTCCCCGCCCTGCCCTGCGGCTGCTGATGGTGAGCAGATGTGGACAGGTGGGTCTCCGGGAAGCTCTGGCTACCAAAGTTCAGACAGTGGACTCCAGGGTGCAGCTCAAGGACAGGAAGGGAGGTCAGCTCAGGGGTCAGCCCCCACCAGGCCCAAGAGCAGATCTGGCATCCATTTATTCTGCAGACCTCAGCCCCTGCTCATGTATGGGCGCCCACAGAAGGGAGATGTGAATTCACTGGCCAGAAGAGGCACCATCTGACAAGGAGGAAAACCCAGGAAGGTGCCCAGAGACCCCTGTGCTAGGCATCAGCCTCCTCTGTCACTGGTTCCCACCACTTCACCTACACATTACAGACCCAGAGCACTTTTCATTTTTTCTGACCATGACCAACATCACCAAAGGCCTGGTTTATGCCAACTTTGTATACTGCCATCTCTGTGCAGAGAACTATCTCATTTAATCCTCACCCTGTGAAATATCTATGAACCTTGCAAACCCTGGGGACACAAATATTTTGAAACTCAGAATTGTTATAATTCTTTCCATTTTAGAAAGGGTAAGATGAGCCTTGGGTCCAGTAACAGCAGAGTAGCTGGTATCAAACCAACCCTCCTGCAAACTCTTGGACAGAATAAAAAGCAACTGTTCAAAGACACAGGAGAGTAAATACAATCAGGTAGAAACCAGAGGAGACACACAGGGATACCAGGGCAACAAACATGAACTGGGAGTGTCAAAGGTCTAAGGCCTTTGTGCACCCTCGGTACACTGTCTTTGAATTTTGTTTGTGTCTGTCCCTTCTGTAGACATTGAGCTCCCTGGGGACAGGGCTATACCTTGGTGGGTCCACATCTCAAAACCCAGGCCCAGTGCCCAGCATGAAGCTGGCTCAGTGATGTTTCTGGACTCAACATGAAGGTGTGGCCACAAGATGCTGAAAGCTGCGGCTGGACTCTGCTGTGGTAGGCCAGGACCCTCATCTCACCATCTACTCAGGCATCAGGTCAGCAGCAGGATGCAGGAGGCCAGGAAGCTTCCAGAACCCAAGACCAGCCTGATCTGACTCCATTTAGTTGCATTGTACCTTAGCCATATAACTTATTAATTAGACCATATCATTCATTCAATTGCCCATCTGTATATCACTGTCTATCCATTTCACAAATACTTGCCCAGCCCCTTTGTCCAGCCAATCCCAGGAGATGGCAGAGAACAGGCTGTTGGCCCTGTGGGCTCCTGGAGACCACCTTCCAGTGAGAGACGTGATGCTAAACAGGTAAACACATGAGTGAGTAACGAGGGACTATGTTAGCCTGAGCTGGTCGAGGTGGGAGGATGCTCCAGGCAAGGGGCCAGTGTAGGTTCTCAGACAGGGCAGGTACACGCCAGAGGAGGAGTGGAGAATAGTGCACTCCTGCCAAGAAGGCTCCAGTGTCACAGAACAGGTCAGACAGTCATAAGGACAGGCCCCAGTGACTGAGCCTGGGGGATGGTGCCAAGGGCAGGGATGCCAGAAAGCAGCATGGTAGGTGTGCCAAGGTCAGGGCAGGAGGACACCCCTGCTGAAGCAGGCAGGGGGTGCGGGTGCATCTGACCTTGAAGGCCAGGACAGGCTTGTCTTCTGCTGCAGGCAGGCTCTGACACTCCCGGCAAGGAGACCTTGCTGTGACTCCTTTTGCAGACCCAGAGTCTGAGCAGTCAGCTGACTCTCTGGAGGTCATCCAGCCAGAGAAGAGCCGACAGGGTGGGTCCCTGCACCTCCTGGGCTGGAGTCCAGGCTCTTTCTGTGTCTACCTGGACTCAGGCCAGCCCTGGCACAGCCTTGCCCCTTTTCTTGGCTGTGAGCTTCTCCAGGACCAGGGACAGGCTCACTCATCTCAGGACTCAGACTGGTGTTTCCAGAGCGCAGCAGTGGGTATCAGGGCAGAGGCCCCTACACTCCCCATCTGTCTAGACTGGGCTACTTATCACATGACCCAGACGCTGTCAGGCTGGCTGCCCACCTGTCCCTGCCAGCTCACAGATGGATGGCCCATGGGAGACCTGCAGCTATTTACTGTGGCTGGAAGGATGGGCTGCTACATAGCTCTCACTCAAAAACTGCCCCACCCCTATTCTATTTCCAGGTCTCCCAAGGTCTAGTGTGAAAAGTCACAGAACAGACAACCTTCCCTACCCCAACCCCCTGAGCCCATGCCCTTAGACTAACAACGTTCCCCACTGGAGTGTCCCCTGTCCTGAGAGGTGGTGTGGGAATGGGGGACTTGGTCAGAATTAGGTTGATCCTGGAAAAAAACAGCAAAGGAAGGAGTCTTGGGTTGGGGGCTCCAGGAAGTTCTTCTTCTTCCCCCCACCCCTGCTTTTTTTTTTTTTTTTTTGAGACAAAATCTCACTCTGTCCCCTGGGTAGAGTTCTATGGCATCATAGCTAACAGCATCCTCAAACCCTTGGGCTCAAATGATCCTCTTGCCTCAGCCTCCCGAGTAGCTGGGATTATAGGTGCCCATCACAACACCTGGCTATTTTTAGAGACAGGTTCTTGCTCTTGCTCAGGCTGTTCTCTAACTCCTGAGCTCAGGCAATCCACCCACCTTGGCCTTCCAGAGTGCTGGGATTACAGGTGTGAGCCACTGTGTCCAGCCTTTTCTTCCCACTTTTTAACATTCTTTAAAATTCCCATAACAAGCAACATGTTACTTTCCTCGTGTGAGAGGATCAACTTTACTCAACAATTCACAGGAAGCTGTAAAAGGTGCCAGGTTTTGCATAGCAACTATAAAATGTCTTTATTTTGGTGTTAAAAAAAAGGAAATTTCTGTAGGTCTTTATGGAAAAAATACATGACTGGAACGCTTTCCACCAAACACGTCTCCATCTGGGCAGAAAAAGTTTTGATGATTTATCTTTTTTAATATTTTTGGTTTGCTTGAATGTTTTAACACAGTGAAGTATGTTTTTTAATCATCATTAAACATGACTTGTACCTTGGAAGACGATTTGTACTTTGAGGTTTGTGATCACTTCCCATCCCCTGTCCCTTCTCTCTCTTTCCACAGTGACGCTGAGGGCCAGGCTGGCTAGGGGGCCTGGGAGGGCCTGGGAGGGCCTCAGGTGAGTAGAGAGCCAGGTGGGAAGGGAGGCTGGGGCCCAGGGTGCAGGCAAGAGGCCCCAAAGGGCCTGAGTAGGTGTGGGGTACCCAGGCCAAGGTCAGCACCTGTGCAGCTCTGGTGGAGCTGGGGTTGAGTCTGTGCAGAAGCAGTGCCATCTGGTGGTCCCTCTTGGTAACATCAGCCTCTAGTCTTGTTTCTTGGAGATTGGAGAGGGGTGGCTGGATGGAGGTGGTCACGAGGGTGGGGGGTGGGAGTGGGTGATGGAGGGAGGAGTGAACGGTTCAACTACCCCTCTTCAGTGAAAAGGTGAAAGGGCAGGAGGCATCCTGGATGCCCAGGAGCCTGGAACCCACCCCCCCTTCCAATGCATCCAGCCCCCCACTGGTTCTCTCATGTGGGGCACATGGGTGTGTCATGTGGGGAGGGATAGGAGTGGGGATGTGGGCTTTCTGTGGAGTGGTCCTCACCCACGTTCTAGGGGTATTCTCTTCTCCCCGACCTTGCCCACTGTCTCTCAGCCTTGTTTCTGTGCTTTCTGCAGGCTCAGCAGGGAGGGTGGTCAGGACCATGGGATTCCAGCTCTGTATCCGACTCTCTGGTCCTCAGAGCGAGAGCTAGGGGGTGGGTGAGGTGGGTGTCCTCTGGAAGGCCCTGTGGGCTTGGGGACTGGCGGCCACCTACACACGACCCAGGGGCAGGGACAGCCCCTGCGTGGCCTCTTCCCCCAGGGCCCTCTGCAGAACAGCCTGCAGAGGCTCTCTTTTCCCAGGCTTCCGGCCGGCAATGAAGTAGAAGAGAGGTTTCCAGCTGCTGTTGATGCAGGCCAGGAGGGTGGCCAGCAAGGGAAGCAAGGGCAGGATGTCAAACAGGGTCCGAAGGCTCCAGTAGATGACGAAGGGCAGGCCGCAGAAGAAGAACAGCAGCGTGGCACCCAGCGCAATGCCGTAGAAGCGGGGACGCTGGCGCCCCGAGCAGCAGGCCACCCAGATGAAGAGGACCAGACCAGCCGTGCAGGCCACACAGGCCAGGGCCAGGAGCCAGGCCACACTGGCCACATGGTACCGCAGACAAGCCAGCAGGCCTTTGCCTCTGTGCAACAGGCCACAGGCATCAGCAGGCACCAAAATGACTGGCAGGGTCAGGACCCAGCCCAGGGTGCAGAGGACCCCGGAGGTGTGTCGGGGTCGGCAACCCCAGTAGCAGCCTGGAAAGAGGTCGGAGAGGCAGCGCTCGGCGCTGAAGGTGGCCAGCAGCCAGAGCCCCACTGCAAAGCCCAGGAAGGTGAGCACGAAGTACAGCGTGTCCTGGGAGTCCAGGACAGCCTGGACGATGGAGAAGGCCACATGGCAGGCCAGGAATAGGAAGTCTGCGGCAGCCAGGTGCAGCAGGTAGATGGAGAAGGGGCCCTTCTTGCGCAGGCCAAGGTGCCAGAGCACCAGCCCATTGCCCACCAGCCCCCCCAGGCTGACAGCCAGGGTCAGGTAGAACACGACGCTAGTGAAGGTTTTCCAGAGGCCAAACAGTCCGAACATCGTGGTGGGCTCGGTGGGTGCTCCCAAAGGACCCTGCAAAGGGGGTATATACATTGGCCACAGGGGTGCAGCTCCAGGGCCGTCCTTCCAGAGTGTGACCTCACCAGCACCCAGCCCTCAGAGCTCTGGGTATGTGCCTGCGACATCAAGCCCCTGCATGGGCACCAGGCTCTCCTGGCAGGTAGACCAGGAGGCAGCAAAGAAGACTCCTGGCCCCCCTGTAGGGAGGAGGCACACTGCAGAGTCACCCAGTGTTAGGCCTGCCTCTATAGGCAAAGCAACATCTGCAGGGACCCTGGACGCAGGGGCTGCCCCCTCCTCTTCTAGCAGAGCAGGGTCCCCACCCAGAACCATGGGGTGTGCAGCCCTCTCCCACCTGTGGGTTTCCCACCCCAGGGGGTCTTTGAAGGTGTCTAGTGTTGCACCCCAAGGACACTGTCTTACAATAGGCACAAGTTTCAGGTGGCTTCAGGAGGAGGGACAATGTCAGGTGGGGGCATGGGAAGGCAAAGGAGACACCAGCCTCCCAGTCCCGCCCCCCCAGCCTGGCAGGGGACACCAGGGCTCACACTGCAGGCAGGCAGTGCAATGGATGCTGTTCTGAAGCCTTGAATCAGGGCAGGGGACTTTGGTGATGGGTTACAGAGCCACCAACACAGAGAAGAAGTAGACATAGAGTTTGCTCCTGGCCTCAAGGAGTGAGAGGCCATGAGTCCTGGGGGACGTTCTGCAGAGCCAGAGGGACTGGCCAGAGGGACTAGCTGGGCCGTGGCTACACGGAGTCTCAGGGCCGTCCCCCCTCTGGCCATCTCTGTTCTCAGCTCTGACACGCAGCTGAGGGGCATCAGGGCCCCAGCTGTGTAGGGTACAGACAGGAGACAATGGGAGAGAGAGGGAAAGACAGAGAGAGATACAGAGAGAGGTAGGGAGAGGGAGAGAGAGAGATGGAGAGATGCAGGGAAAGACAGAGAGACAGAGACAGAGATATAAAGAGAGGTAGGGAGAGGGAGAGATAGAGAGATATACAAGGAAAGAGAGACAGAAGCAGGGAGAGGGAGAGAGATGGAGAGATACAAGGAAAGGCACAGAGACAAAGAGGCAGAGAGGCAAAAACAGAGAGACAAACAAAGAGAGAAAGATACAGAGGAGGGGAGGGATACAGAGAGAGAGACAGAGGAGGGGAGGGAGACAGAGAGAGAGAGGAGGGGAGGGATACAGAGAGAGAGACAGAGGAGGGGAGGGATACAGAGAGAGAGTGAGGAGGGGAGGGATACAGAGAGAGAGAGACAGAGGAGGGAGGGGAGGGAGACAGAGAGAGAGAGGAGGGGAGGGATACAGAGAGAGAGAGAGGAGGGGAGGGATACAGAGAGAGAGAGAGAAGGGGAGGGATACAGAGAGAGAGACAGAGAGATACAGAGAGAGAGACAGAGAGATACAGAGAGAGAGAGAGGAGGGGAGGGATACAGAGAGAGAGAGAGATACAGACAGATACAGAGAGACAGGCAGGGACACGGAGAGAGATAGAAAGAGACGGGTGGAGGACAGCACACACCTTGCCTTCCCCTCTCCCGCCCTCCACACCGCCACAACTCCTCACCTCCACCCTAACCCTGGCCTCACCCTTCCTAAGACTTTGCTCCTTCTCAGTGAAACCTCCTGCAGCTCTCTCAGTCCACTCTGAGCCTTCCTGCCTCACTCCCCAGGATGCTCGCCTGGTGCCCTTTTTTGTGATTGTCCTTGTCCCAGTAGTGAAGTGGAGGCCACCCCTGTAGGACATGTGAGCCCAGCTGGCAGGCTGAGGTGTGGGGCCTTGGGTCCTGGGCAATGGAGACCTCAGCCTGGCTCTAATGTTTTGGTGGTGGCCTGGGTGCAAGACCCAACCACTCTGAGGCTTACTGAGGGAGCTAACTGGGCTCTCTTGGCTGCACTCCAGCCCCTGATGGTGGGGTAGGGTAAGCTGCAGAGAGGGATGGGCATGCCTGGTGTGGTACCGTCCTTGTCAGAAGGAGCACACCTGCCCAGGCCACTCCAGCAACCTCAGGCTCTAGCCCTGAACGCTTTCCCTCTCAGCCTCTGCTTCCCATCCCATCCCATATACCTTCCTTTCCCCCATCAAGTCCCTCCCAAAGGAAATTCTAACATCTATGCCCTCTGGGTGGCAGGCTAGAAGCAGGGGCTCTGCAGAGGGCAGGTGTCAGGGGCACCTTCTCACCTGCTGACCGGACTGTCTTGCTCTCCCTGCCCTTCTCTGCTCAGAGCTGAACTCAGTGCCCAGGGCTCCTCCCTGGCCCTAAATCCTCTCGTGTCCTCTGGGGCTAAGTTGGCTGGGCTAAGGCATCCCAGGCCAGTTCCCTAGAAGTGGGCGGGTGTGCTTCCCGTTCATAGGAATTGTAGAAATGAGCTAAAGCAGGGATGTTGTTAGCGTGGTCAGCCCTGCCCTTCCTTCTCTCAGGGGAAACTAAAGGCACACATGTGTCCCCCACTCTGTCTGCTGCATCACGGACTGGACCACACCTCCCAGCCCCCAGCTGGGCAGCTCCTGGTGGCCTTTTGTTTGCTGCAGGCATGGGAGGGGGCGCAGGGACTGTGGGCACAGGCCTGGCTGAAGCTCCTGGCCTGAGAGGATGACCTGGTAGTCTCTCTGTGTCTCAGTTTCCCCTCACTGGACTGACAATTTACAGACAGTTTGATGCAACAGGTGCCCAGGCCTGGGCCTGGCTCCCACAAGGAGTGGCCAGATCAATCCAGCGTTCCTCTAGGTGGTCTTCAGAGGTTACCTGCCCACCCGAGGAGCCCCCTTGCCATCCCTCTACCTGCCTTGGACCCTGGACTCTGAGCCGTCAGCAGATTCTTTGGGGTTAAGATGTTTTTCCAAGTGTTACACCCTGAGATGTCTGTAATGAGAAATTTTCTTTTTCGTAGACTGAGTTCTCTAGTTCTGGATCCACAGAGCACGGCAGCCCAACAGGCCAGAAATGATGTTGGAACGTGCTGTCTGTGCCCCTGTTTCAGAATGAGTCAGACTTTGGACACAAATCACGGCCCTGGGTGAGCACTTCCTCCATTCTGCCCGTGAGGTTCCAGGCCAGGGCTGCCCTTCTCCATCCCCCAGCTGCTGTGACACTTTGCTTTTAGTGCTCACATCTGTGATCCTAGCACTCTGGGAGGCCAAGGTGAGTAGACTGCTTGAGGTCAGGAGTTGGAGACCAGTCCAAGCAAAAGCAAGACCCTGTCTCTAAAAAACAGCGGGCCATTTGGCAGGCACCTATAGTCTCAACTACTCAGGAGGCTGAGGCAAGAGGATTGCTTGAATCCAAGAGATTGAGGTTGCTGTGAGCTATGACACCATGGCACTCTACCCAAGGCAACAAAGTGAGACTCTGTCTCAAAAAAAAAAAAAAAAGATGCAAAGTTTGTGTGGCCTACAAGGACCAAGGGAACCTGAATTTGCATGCCCCTTCCTATAGCTCTACACTGGACCTTGGTGGCCTCCTGGACCCTGTGTGCTCAACCCTCCTTCCCACCAGGCCTCTCCTCCAGTTTCCGTTAACTCGGCGCCCTGGGCCGAAAGCATCAGCAGGGACCCTCTGGGTAGCCTGGCCCACCAGGATCAGAGGTTAGGCCCAGCTTCAAGGACAGGCCCTCAAGCTGGGCGGAAGGGGCATGGTCAGGCAGTGGTCTTCCATCCCAGATCAGGTATGAGACAGCAATATGTGTAGAGGGCTTCCCTTGCTTGGGGCATTAGGGGTGAGGTGGCCTAATTTTCAGAATTACTTACTATCAGGTATTTTATTTTATTTTGAAACAGACTCTCACTTTGTTGCCCTCAGTAGGGCCCTCCCAAATAACTGAGACTACAGGCACCCGCCACAACACCCAGCTGTTTTTTTTAAGAGACTGTCTGGCTGGTCTCGAACTCCTGTTACAGGTTTGAGCCACCATGTCTGGCCTCCTATGGGGCACTTTAAACAGGTCTGGTTTTGACGCAGGTTGGTGTGAAGCTCATAAGAAGACTTTTCTACCTTGGTCAGCCTTAGGTGGTCTCAGGCAATAACCAGTGTGGTTTCTCCTCCCTCGAACTCACCCACCTTCTAGGCCATTCTAGAAGGTAGTAGTTGGCCAGTGTGGTGGCTCATGCCTATAATCCTAGCAGTCTGGAAGGCTAAGGTGGGAGGATCTCTTGAGGTCAGGAATTGGAGACCAGCCTGAGCAAGAGCAAGACCCCATCTCTACTAAAAATAGAAAAACTAATCAGGCATTGTGGTAGGTGCCTGTAGTCCCAGCTACTTGCTGAGGCAAGAGGCTTTCTTGAGCCCAGGAGTGTGAGGTTACTGCGAGCTGTGATGCCACAGCACTCTACCCAGGTTTACACGGGGAGAGACAAGGTAGTGGTTAACTGCTCAGCTCCAAGAGGAAGGGGCAGGCCACGCCTTGGAGCCACAGCCAGGCTACAAAGGGGAGCAACAGCTTGGCCAAGAGGTGGAGGGAGCCAGGGCTGTGGGCAGGATTTCTTTCTTTCAGAGGGAAGGGTCAGTCAGGCAGCCTAAGTGGGTTTAGGAAGGGCTACTTTGAATAATTTCAGAGCTTGGGAATAGGGGCTGTCTGTGGCAGACTGGTGCCTGGTCTGGGGGTGATCAGGGCAGGGAGTAGTGGCCCTGAGCATGAGAGCCCACAGAGGAGGGGGAGGGAGCTCTGCACCCCCACAGGGTGCATTTGAAAGGCAGCTCCTGAGTTCACTGCCCCTGGACTGGCTGGGCTTGGGAGGGCCATCCCTGTGGTCCAAAAGGCCCCAGAAGCCAGAGCTTCAGAACACAGAGAACAAGGCCCAGTTAACACAGGGAGCACCCCAAGCTAGCTCTGGGGTCTCCCTAGACTTAGTTAACACAGGGAGCACCCCAAGCTGGCCCCAAGGTGCCCCCTAGGCCCAGCTAACACAGGGAGCACCCCGAGCTGACCCCAGGGTGCCCCCTAGACCCAGCTAACACAGGGAACACCCCAAGCTGGCACCAGGGTGCCCCCTAAACCCAGTTAACACAGGGAGCACCCCAGGCTGGCCTCAGGGTGCCCCCTAGACCCAGCTATTATAAGGAACACCCCAAGCATGCCCCAGGGTTCCCCCTAGACCCAGCTAACACACGGAACACCCCAAGCTGGCCCCAGGGTGCTCCCAGACCCAGCTAACACAGGGAACGCCCCGAGCTGGCCCCAGGGTGCCCCCTCTGCCTCCCTCTTTCTTCCTTCCTAGGCTGGGGTCTTACATGGCAGAGAGTAAGAGGCTCCCCAGGGGCTGCCTGCTTCCTCCTGCCATGGAGAGTCCTAGGTTGGGAGAAACCAGACTCCCTAGGCTGTAAGCCCCAGGCTCTGCTGCCTCAGGGCCCTGCTCCTGCTCTGCTAACTCTGTCTTTCAAAACCTATTTCCCAGAGGTCAGTAAGGAAGTTTGTGACGTGATACGTGTTATATATACTCCAGTGGCCAGTGCAGAGAAAAGACTGGGAGTGTATTGGCTTCTGCTGCCAATGGGATCCAATAATTTTGTCAATAGAAAATAACCCAAACTCTGCAAAATAATTTAAACATGTTTATTATGAAACATGGCCTGGAGCCACACCCAAGAAGCCTTGAACATGTGATCTCACTGTGGCTGGGTACAGTTTGGTTTTACACTTTTTACAGAGACAGGAATTACATATAAAGTCATAAAGCAATACTCGGAAGACACATATTGGCCAGAACAGGCGACACATCTCTAAGCAGGGAGTCATAGGTTATAGGTTTGAAGATTCTTCAACTTGTAATTGGTTAAAGAAATGAAGTTTTGTCTAAAGGCCTGGAATGTTTTAGGTTAAGGAAATCTGTTAATCAGAGACAAACCTGGGACAAATACCCAGACTCAAGTTGACCTGCTAAGTAAATTGAGGACATGCAGGTGGTTTAAGTTTCATCTTGCACAGCCTTAGGCCAGTTAATGAGCTGCAAAGGATGTCTTCAAGAAGGGAGGGGGCCTGCTAAGGCTGTCTGACCTCCCTTCTCATGGCCAGCTACTCTGCTTTACAGTATTTCTGGTATTCCCTTGGCCAACAAGGGGTCCATTCAGTCAGTGGGGCCTTAAGATTTCATTTTAGTTCACAGAACCAAGTCCAACACTGGGGCCTTAAGCTGAGCCCCCAGGCTGGCACAGACAGAGGAGGGAATGAAGCAGGTGGGTTGTGAGAAGGGGTGTGTCAGAGATGAGGGATCAGAGGCTGTGGGAGAATGATGCAATTTCTCAAGAAAGAACAGCATGAAACTAAAGTAGACTTCATGTTTCAGGTCTGACATTTGGTTATATATTTTCCAGCTTCTGAGATAATGAAATAGCTGAAGAATGAGTGTGGTGTCCCATGATGAAGCCAAATTGGGTGGGGTAGGGTGGGCATCTTCCCACCACTGGCCCAGGCCCCCTCTCTGCTCCTTACAAACAAGCTACAGAGCCAAGACCACACTCTCCAGGGTCAGGCTGCCAGGGAGCAGGGACCTGCCTCTTCCCGGGAACTCTGTCCTGGTCAAAGTAGCCCCAGTGGGTTCTGGGGGGCCTGAGAAAGGCAGATGGGGTGGGCCCTGGCTCTGCCCTTGGGCCATATGCTTCTGTTCCCCTGGGCCAAACTGTTGCTAGAGCTGAGGTCCAGTTCTGAGCACTAGGCCTCCTCACCCTCACCCTCACCCTTACCCTCTGCCTTGGCCATCCAGCCACACACCTGCTACTACACCCTGGACCAAGAGGAGACTGGGTCAGGCTGTTTCCATGGAGACTTCAAGAGACTGTGCTCTGTGTCTCCTGGATATTCCTCTGCCCTGCCATCCTGATAAGGACAAACTTAGAGCTACCCCCAAATCCCTGGCTGCCAAGGGTCAGCTCTCTGGGAGAAGGCAAAGATCAAGAGGGTCCCCCATTGCTACTCTTATTTGGCAAAGGGATCTGGGCTGGGGAGAGGTCCAGGGATACCAGTGTGAGGCTGAGGGTACCTAAGCCAGCCCCATCCAGCAAGGAGGAGAGCCTAAGGGTGGGAGAGTGGTCTAAAGAGTCACTTTCTGGCTCTGCCATTTTGTTAGTAGATTTGAACAGTACTTAACCACTTCAGGTATCAATATTCTCATCTGAGAAATGGGAGTATTTCCCCACATTATTAAAAGGATTCCCTATGCTAATAATATCCACGGAGGAAATGCCTATGATATTAATTTGTGCTTTTCCCCCAAGTTTTTCCTTGATCTGGGTGAAATGTATGTCCAAGGGCTAAATGTAGAATTTGGGGACAGACTACCTGTCTTCCTCTTCTTTGCCCAAATGGAGTAATTGGAGTTGATAATCACATCCTAGGGGTGCAGAGCAAGGGCCACACCTGGCTCTGGCAGCAGTGGAAGGAGTATGTCCCTGCAGGGTACTGTGAGGTGCTTTTGGAGGGTGGACCTGCAGGATGCATGGGAACCAAAGTGAGGTGATGAAGGTGGGAGGAGTCTTGACCCTCATCCAGACTCAGGAGCAACAGGCTTGCCTGTGGCCATGGCCGGCCCAGACTGACGATCCCTCCACCTCCAGGCACAGAGGCCCAGAGTCCAAACTGCACTCACTCACGGAAGCCAAGGGAAACGCTTCCTGGACATCTTGGTATGTGGTTGACTCACGCTGTGCCCTCTGCCGTGCTGTGCTGGTGATAGTGAAGTTAGTGAACAATCTGCTTGGGCTGTGAAATGTTGGACAGGACTCAAAGCCCTCATACGCTTTCACTCATCCGTTCTCATCTTTTAGAGAAGAGAAAGTAAAGGCGTTGAGAGGCTCAGAGTAGCTAGGGGGCTCCAGAGCCCCTGTTCCTAAACCCTGTGGGCAGTGCCCAGGTGGGTGTCTTCTCGGAGCCCTTAGGCCTAGCACTCAGGGAAAGCTCAGCAATTTGCCATGGGCTGAACCCTGCGCTGCTTCCTTCTCCTTCAAAAGACTGTGGAGTGGGACCTGCCCAGGATCGCACAGGGCCAGCTATCCTGTGTGGGGCAGGCAGGAAGCTGTCCAGGAGAGGAAGGTCAGGGTGCTACTGGGAGATGGGGCCATGCTGGTGGGGGTGCTGCTCTAGGTGTGGGCAGGGCTGGCCTCTCCACCTTCCCAGGGTGCTGATATCTGGGGACACTAGTGTCATTCAGCTTTTCAGAAGCTCCGAGTGAGGTTTGCACTGTCCAGGCCCCAGTGTCACAGTCTTGAGAGATGGGCCAACTATCAACAGCCCCACAGACTTCTAGAAGCCCATCTCTTAGCCCCCACATTTCTTCTTCTAGAAGGAAACATTAAACATGAACAAGGCCAGGCTGGTGGCTCACACATATAATACTGACACTCTGGGAGGCCGAGTCAGGAGGATTCCTTGAGCTCAGGAGTTCAAGACCAGCCTGAACAAAAGAGAGACACATCTCTACTAAAAATAGAAAAACTATCCAGATCTCTTGGCCTGTAGTCCCAGCTACTCAGAAGACTGAGGCAAGAGGATCACTTGAGCCCAGGAGTTTGAGGTTTCTGTGAGCTGGGTTGATGCCCCAGCACTCTAGCCTGGGTGACAGAGTGAGACCCTGTCTCAAAAATAAATAAATACTACATAAATTAAATTAGAATTAAAACACAAACATAAATAGATGTCAGCATATATGTTGCTATTGGGGTGCAGGGATTTTATTCAATGTACAGCCTTGTTCTGAGATACAATGAATGGCTTTCTGAGATCCCTGCATTTTCTTGCTTAAACTTGATGACAACAAAACTGGCCACTTAACAAGAAGGCTGTGGCCACTTTGGATGGAGTTAGAGGGGGTTGTGGGAGAGGGTCAGGCTTTGGGCAACCTTTAGTTTGGGGGCCACTGTAGCCCCACAGTGGGAGCATTCTGTGCTCAGCCCTCTGGAGGGGGTAGTGTGCCTATGGTAGTGAGGAGGCTATAGGTGGAGAGGGAAGGGGAGCGAGCAGGAGTGGGTTGGGACGTGTGTCTTCGCCTGTGACCAGCCTTGCCCATCCCTTCCCCTGTCCCCTCACTGCAACTGAGCCAGGAGTGGCCATGGGCTACAGCCTGCTAAAGCAGCGGCTGTCCTATCACCGGGTCATCAGTGAAGGTGTCCGGGGCTCCTGCTGGCCCTGCTTCTGATCCTGTTCCTTCCTCAACATGGGCTGGAGCTGGGACCCAGGACTCAGGCTGTTATGTCCACAAGATCCCGACGGGAGGTCTCCCTGCCAGCCCCCAGCTCAGCCTCGTCCCCCAGCGCTCGACGAAGGACCAGACGGAGGGGCTGGTGCAGCCGGTGGCCTGGGGCACTGCCCAGGCAGAAGTAGACGGCAGGTTTGGCAGCGGTGTGCAGCCCTGCTGTGAGGAAGCTAAAGTGGTAGAAGGAGCGTGGGGTGTGCCAGTGAAGGTTCCAGCACAGCCAGTAGATGCCGAAGGGCAGGCCGCAGAAGAGGAAAAGGAGGACGGCCAGCAGGACCAGGGCGGGGAAGCCGCGCAGCTGGGGCCACTGCGGGCCGCGCTCCACCCGCAGCAGCAGGAGCAGGCTGGCCCCGCACATGGTGCAACACAGGGTGGCCAGCAAGGCAGCCGCCGCCAGCCACAGTGCCCTGCACACATGGCGGCTGGGCTCCCAGAAGAGCTGGGTGCAGGCACCACTAAGCAGCAGATGCAGCACCAGGCCGAGGGTCCAGGCCAGAGCACACACGCAGGTGGCAAGGTGGCGTGGGCGGCGGCATGGGTACCAGGCTGGGAAGAGGGCAGCCAGACACTGCTCCACACTGACAGCTGCCAGGAGGCTCAGGCTCACCAGGTAACAGAAGAACCTCAGGGTGGCCAGGATGGCCTGCAGTAAGCCCGGGAAGTCCAGCTGGCCAGGCAGCAGGTCAGGGATGATGGCCACCATGTGGCAGCCGAGGAAGATGAGGTCGGCACAGGCCACATCCAGAAGGTAGATGGCGAAGGGATTCCCATAGACGTAGGAGCTCAGCAGCCACAGGACCACACCGTTCCCCAGCAGGCCGCCCAGGCTGAGGACCTCTGTGAGCCACAGGATGACGAGGTTGAAAGTCAGATCCTCTGGGACATTATCTGGGGACACCGCATGCTGTCCTGCTGCTCCAGACTCCATGGTCAGCAAAGTACAGAACAGCTGGGGCCCAGGAGGCCTGAGGAAGCTTGTTCTGCTTGCTCTCTCCTAATGCCCCTGCAACCACAACCACAGCTGAGTTTGGGGCTTAGGAGTCTCTGCTCCCTGCCCCGTAACCACCCCACCTCACTTGGGGGAGATGGGGTAGCCAAGGTTGGGTGAGTAATGGAGGCATGGGGGCCCACACAGAAGAAGGCTCCTCTTCCATTTTGGTCCCTGTCACCTGACCCAAGCTTCTCTGTTCTGTCTAAGACTCTTAGCAGAAAGGCCATGGCCAGTGGTAGCTGGAGAGCTCAGGGGCTTCCAGCCCAGCTGGTCCCTGTGAGCCAGGGTGGGGGCAGGGACTGTGAGGAAACTCTGGAAGGGGGTAGAGGCCCCTGGTTCCCTGTTGTTTATGGTGTCTTTGATCCTTGAAACAGTCTTGAAGTCAAAGGTGGCATCAGACACATCACCCACATCTAACACACGGAGTGATGGCACAAGGACAGCCCTTAGGTTAGGCGCTGTCACCTTTAAGCACCCCCGTTTGTTGAGACCTTTCTTTGACATCCCACAAGGGGCCATTGGTTATAGGCTTGGGCCTGAGCCCTCTAGCTCGGCCACACTGTAAGGCCAGGTCAGGACCTCACCCCAGCCTCACCATGTCCCTGCTGTCCCACAGCAGCCTCCAGGCCTCTTGGGGAGAGGAGGCTCCATCACCCACCCCTGTCACCCATCCTTTTCCTATAGGGAGAAGAGGGACTTGTCCATGATGAGGTTGAGTGGGGCCCTGGACCTCTGTGAGTCTGTCTTCCCCCTCCCCCTCCCTCTGGTCCCCTCTCAGGTGATAGTTCATAGGCAGGTCCTGTGTGCTGGAGGGGGAGCTTAGGCCTAGAAGCCTGTGCCTAGGAGCCCGTGCAGACCCCACTGGGCCTTCAGGTGGAGCCTGCTTCTTCATCATAGCTTTGTCAGTGACACAGCCATGAAGCAGACCCTACAGGACTTCCAGGCACTCAGAGCCAGAGACCCACCTGAGGTTATCCATCTCACCCTGCCCCTGTAGTTACCTGTCCCATCCTGCCACTTGAGGTCAACTGCCTAACCCTTCCTCAGTCACCTCCTGCACTGGCACTGTGAGCGCCTCCCACAGTCACCTGGGCTAGAGATAGGGAAAGGGGCCCAAGGAGGGACCCCGCTAGGGAAGTGGGGGACAGAGTGTGTGGAAAGATCAGGTGGATGGGAGGGCAAGGAAGGAGCAGGGGAGAAGTGGGAGGAAGAGGACGGGGGCAGGGCTGGAGGTCCAGTGGTTGGGGTCCCCAAGGGTGGGCTCCAGAATACTGAGAAGAGTAGAGGAACCTGGCTACCTTCTTGACAGAGGGAGACGGAGGAGAGGGGTCAACACCAGTGAAAGGTGCAGGCAGGAGGCACAGCACTCATTCCATCAGCACCATTCAGGTCCTGCAGGGCAGGTGGGAGACGGCAGGCCCTCCCTGCGGATGGGCTGTGGGAGCCCCCAGGCCTGGCTCTGCTCCCTGCTGTGGTCAGTGAGGACTGAGGAGCCACAAGGCTGTCTAGGGTCAGTGCCAGTGCAGCTAGGAGGAGAGGGCTCGCTCCTGTGCTGTCTCTGACCATCTGAGAGTTGGGCCAGGTTTTCCTTCCCCATCAGGATGGAACATGCTTCAAAATGAGGGACGTGGGGCAGACATGAGACAGAGCCACAGTGTGGGACCAGTACCCATCTGAGTGTTCCCTTCTGGACTCAGTCCAGAGCTGATTTGGGTGGCCCAGCGCAAGTCAGAAGGTGAAGGACAGAGCTCTGGGAGTGCCACGCCTGAGACCTCAGACTAGCGCCTGCCCCACCCCCTGCCCCTGCCCCAGCCCACAGGCCAGCAGAAGAGTTTCGTGCCCAGAAAGTGCCAAGTGCCTGGGCTGGACCCAGAGACCCACCCTGACCCAAGTCTCCTGCACTGCTCACCGCTGGCTGGGTCCTGTCTCTGTCCCTGGGTCTTGGTGCTGTCCTGGCTGCAGCCCCAGAGCCTATGGGCGGCTCCTGCTCACGTCAACCAGCAACTCAGAGTCACATGGTATGGGACTGGATGGGGCCAGATGGGAAGGAGTCTCTCTGGGGACCCTTCTCCTCCACTCAGCTCCTGCCCTACTGCAGGCATAGAGAAAAACCTAGACCCTCCCTGCAGCCACCCAGGCAAGCCCACAGGCTGCAGAAACCACGAATCTCCGGGTGGCTCCAAGCCAGACTATGAGCTCACTGGCTCTCCTGGCTCAGCGATACCAACCCCTGTGGGAACATTTGGGGACCTCTTCTCTCCATCACCAACTCAGAAGGACCAGCCGAGCACAGGCTACCAGTGGGACTTGTCCTTACAGTGAAAACGTGTCTTGTCTCTGCAGAAAGCCAAGGTGGTAGAAGTCCGGGCAGGTTGAGAGGAGGGGAGGATGTGTATGGGACAGTCCTTCTCACCCAGGGCCTGGTCCCCAGGCTCATGTGGATGGCTGATTCTCCCCCCAATCTCTGGCAGAGGAGAATCAAATTCACACAAAGGATCAGACTCAGATATCTTGTGAATTCAATTGTGTCTGCTTGTCTCAAAAGAAAAAAAAGTGCATTACCTTCCAGCACTATTCCTCAAGGGAGATCACCACTGACTCACAAAAAGAAAACAAGGTTGATTTGGCTCTGATCCTCCAAGAGTCCAGGTCCTAGAAATTCTTTCCTCATCTTTGTATTTTGAAAAATCTCCAAAGTACAGAAGAGTTGCCAGGAGCATGGGATTTGCTAAACACTGACATTTCCCATCCGATGCCCTCTACCTATCTTTGCCACATGAGAGCAAGTTTCTGATGCTTGGCATTTTACACTTAGCAACTTCAGCAGGTGGCCCCGAGGGCATGGGCATCTTCCCTCAGACCAAAATGCAGTGGTGTGCTCAGGGTGCTTGACAGGTGCACAAGGCTGGTATCTGACACACAAGCACTGTGTCATTGTAGGATTTTGTCTCTCAGCTCCAAACCCTTTGTCCCTTAAGACTACAGTCTCCACCCCTCAGGTGGACTGGTACGGGTCACTGGCCTGTTAGGAACCAGAACAGCAGGAGTTGAGAGGTGGGAGCCAGGGAAGCTCTATCCGAGTCCACAGCCACTCCCCACCCCTGCACCACTGCCTGAGCTCTGTTCCCATCAGAAAGGCATCAGACTGTCCCAGGAGCAGGACCCTGCTGTAAACTGCTCATGGTGGGGTCTAGGCTATACACTCCAGATGTGAGAATCTAACGCCTGACGATCTGAGGTGGAGCTGAAATGTGCCTGAATCATCCCCCAATCACCCCCACCCCCACACCCTGGTCCATGGCAGAAATGTCTTCTCTGAAACTGGTAGGTCCCTGGTGCTGAAAAGGTTGGGGACCGCTGCTTTAGGGGGCCTGAGTGGCTGCCTGAGTGGCTCTGCTGAGCCGAGCGGGTGCGCGGGAGGAGGCGTCCAGGCTGGGGAGGTCCCAACCCCTGTCAGTTGTTTCCCATCTCCTTTCACTTCCTTTCGTCATCATCGGGGCAGAAGCTGATCCCACTTTGCAGTTTTTCCAGTACTTGATAGAACAGGTCCACCATTTCCTTTTGGCAAAATCGGGGGGACAGCTGGCTAGAGCCCTGTCCTCAGAGGTCTGCCTGGTGACTCTGGGGCTTCCCACAGGCTCTGAATTTTAATGATTTTCCATCTTCCCTTTGTTCCCTGCACCCTGGAAGCTGTGGGCCTGGCATTTGGGTGGTGATGATAGCTTCTTGCAATTGTTATTCCTGTAGCATCTTAGTTTTCCCTTTCTACCTTCCTGGTTTTGCCATCTCTAGTTAACAGTTCTTTAAATTCATCCTGTCCAAATTACTTGTAGCTCTTCCCTCCTTTGTCTCTACTGGTTCTGAAACTGATCCCAGGGAAAAGCTGGTAATTTGGGCTTGGCTCCATTGTATCCTGGGCCTTGGCTGTGGTCTAGCCATCCATGCCACACTGCCACATCATCCTTAATGAGATGAGTCACGGGTTATGACTGAAGTAAATGCTTTGGGAGGACCACTTGGCTGTGAACTTGGTTATTATGGCAGAGAGGAGGACCATAGGACTATGGGCGGCTCCTTCTGAGCAGACTGAAGTTTCTAGAAAGAAAATGGTGGCTCAGCGCCTGTGGCTCAAGCAGCTAAGGCACCAGCCACATACACCTGAGCTGGAGGGTTTGAATCCAGCCCATGCCTGCCAAATAACGATGATGGCTACAACCAAAAAATAGTCAGGCATTGTGGCTGGTGCCTATAGTCCCAGCTACTTGGGAGGCAGAGGCAGGAGAATCACTTGAGCCCAGGAACTGGAGGTTGCTGTGAGCTGTGATGCCACAGCACTCTACCCAGGGCGGCAGCTTGAGGCTCTGTCTCAAAAAATTAAATAAATAAATAAAAAAGAAAATGGTGCTTCCCACTCCAACTCATAAGGGAGCAGTAGGAACTGGAACACCTGTCCATTTTTAAAAACTAGAAAACTACAACCTGGTTTGTGGATGTGGGCCACAGATATTGGGGACTGTGAGAGCTGAGAGGACAGAAAACAGTGGGGCTAGCCTTGTACCCACTGTGGCTTTCTGCCTGGAGGTCACGTCCAGACTACAGCACAGGGTAGAGGGACCAGAGGGGTTCAGCAAATTGAATCCCAAATAAAGAGAAGATGGAGAACTATAAAGATTGGTAACAAAAAGCTAGACAATGGATAGACTGTAGAGAAAAATCAAAGAAACAAATGCTGTTTTGTTTAAAAAAAACAATAAAATTGAAAAAAAACTTTAGCTGGACTGATTAAGAAAACAAAAAATGCAAGTCACCAAATTGGTGACGAGAGATAAGACATCACCGCTGTTTCTCAGATGCTACAAGGAAATGATGGAATGTGAAAATAAGCTGTGTGCCAATAACTCTGACAATTTTGATGAAATGGTCAAATTCCTTGAAAG